TCTTCTACTTCTTCTTCTTCTTCTCCTTATTCTACGTCCAGGGAAGAGTTTCTTAGAGATCCCGTTGACTTCGAGGAGGAATGGTATTCCATATGCAGATTTGCGGAATCCGAGGGTTTTGGGGAGGCCTTTGAAGGGAGCTTCCAAAAATTGTCCTCCGAGAGGGGCACTGACTTGGCTGCATGTGGTGCTGCAGCCGCCGCCGATGATGATATCGTCGGCAATGCTGGTTCTGGTGCTGCTTCAAGCGGTGATCATGTTGGCGGGCCATCTGATGCTGCTGCTGGTACATCATCCCCTGGTGGCCCGGTCAATCCTCCTGCTTCTTCTTCTATCGGTCAGGCTGGTGGAGAGGCTTCTGGCAATCACGATGACTTTGAGAACATTGGAACCCTCAGAGGCGGAGGGCTGGATGAGCCTGCTTTTCTGGACGCCCTGGACGAGGAAGAGGAAGATTCTTCGTAGTAGGAAGAAGAAGAATCCGTCAACTCCGAGCAAGAAGAAGCAACCGGCGCATTCCGCCATGAGAAAGAAATCCAAGAAGAATACTGGGCAAATATCCGTCGGCAGTTGACGATCGATGACAAGTCGGACTACGGTGAAGAAGCCGGATTTTGTAGAGAGGCTAGAGATGCCGAGGATGATGAGTACCTTGACAATTTCAGGAGGAGGAATGCCTCTTCTTCTTCGGCAGCAGCGTTCACTGCACATGGTGGTGGCTTATTCGAAAGTGCGTTCAAGGGCGGATTCATTGAAAGGGCTGATGAGCTCATTTTCATGGGAGGACCAGGAATGGACATGCGCGGGAGTAGACGATGGACTCCCGAGGCAGCGGCTGAGCTGGCGAGGCTTATGAACTTGGTCAATGATGCCTACTCCGAGGCCGATTTCGAGGAAAATACCCGCGCAGACCCCCAGGCAAACTTCGAAACTCGACAGTCCGCAACGCTCGGCCATTACCTGTTTTGGGGCAGGAACTTGTTCCCTAAATGGAGAAAGCCCAAGCAACATGAAGATCCAAGAAACCTGAACAAGAAATTTGAGAAGGAAGCCAAAGCCGCAAAACGAGCTGAGAACTCGTTGTTTCTTGAAAGACTTCTCGCCAAAGAACCGCTTCCTGCCAAAGAGCAACAGCCCACAACACACCACCACTCGTTGCCTACAAGAAAATCAGTCACGTTCCTCCTGGAAAATTATTCAAGCAAGGAGTCCAAGCAATCTAAGGAGTCCAAGGAGGCCGAAGAGTTCGTGGATCCTTCAAGTGCGAAGAAGCGCGCCAGAACATGGCTTAGATTGCCCGGGTTGCCTGGTGGGAGCTCGTTTACTACCGTTGCTGGAAGGAAGGAAAATGAAGATCCCAACGAGAGAGGGTTGCGTGGGAATTGGCATGGTGGGAGGCTGAAGGGGTTGGTTCGGAGGTTGACGGGCACGGGTGCTGGGAGGGATCGGTAGCTTTTGTGCTGTGTCTGCTGTTTCTGCCGTTTCTAGCGTTGGTTGTGTCTGTCTGTGGTAGTATCTGTATGATATGGGCGTATGGAAGGGTGATGCGGTGTCTGATAGCCGTAGAGCGGTTGGAAAGATGTTGAAGTTTGACCGAAAGATGGAACATCATGACGAAAGGGAAAGGATGTGAAGGTCCAGATTCATTCGTTTGTTCGGTGTTGGTTTGCCAGCTTACAGCGGAATTGTTTTTAGATACATCAGCGTTTGTGTATAGCTTTACGACAAGAATGATCAATTCACCAGTTCGAGGAACCAAGGTGGATGAGGTCGTTCGTGAATGAATGTGATTTGATGTGAAGTGTCCGCAATTCGAGAACCTGAAAGTGGCAGTGTCGTGGTCGGAGTTGCTGTGAAACGCGGAATTGGCGCGAGTGAATACAACGGACGCACTAACAATTACCACTAACGCGGAGACTGAGCCGCCATAGTGAAGGGCACTTGGACGGGCAGCCAGCAACACGGAATGAGTTAATGGAAGGGTCATTAAAGATAACGAAGACGTCAGAACAAGCCCCGTGAAGTAGTCCCCAGGTTGTAGTTCAAAGCTGCTTCGTGGTGATGGGAGTCGGTCGGGTGGAAACGTCCAGTTGAAGCGCGTGCCTTGGGCATGCATCCATTCGAGCAGTTGCACTAACAAATACCACCAACACGGAGGCCGTCCTGGGAAACTAGGTCTAACGAAGCGCTTCAGAATCACCAACACGGAGCGGATTAAAGAAAATGCTCCTGAGAGACAAAGGAATAGGTAAGAAAGACATGCACATCCGAGTGGTCTAATAATTAGAAAAAATGATTCATGTTGATTCGGATGGCAGAGCTGAAGAGTTGAAGAGCTGAAGAGCTGAAGAGCGTGCGTGCTGCCGTGCCGTCCAAGTGCAAGCAACCGTTAAGTTGTTAATTAAGGTTTTAAAGGTCCATGCATCATGCATGGGATGATATGTAGGTATCAGATCAGATCAGATCACGAAAAAGTTACGTCTTCAGGGTCACCTGTTATAAATGGAGAAGAAGACTGGACGTTAACGATCATGGACCAAGTGGGAAGCTCCCCGCCGTGAGAGAGAAGGTAGGAGGGTAGGTAGGTACCTTATCCTCTCCAGCTATCTATCTATCCATGGACGGGCAGACATTTTTGCACCACCTAGGTACCCACCCACCCACCAAAATCTAACAAAGAAAGAAGAAATAAAAAAATAAAATTCAAGAGGCCCGAGATGGATGGATGATGGATGGAAACGAAAAGGTGCAAAGTATGAAAGACACTCACTCCATGTCACTAGAGGGTACCTTCCTTATAGATAAGGTACCTAAATGTCGGCCTCATTACAGCAAACTGGTTTTTTTTGTGTTTTTTTTGCAACATGTTGAATGCTTCAATTTCGACCGGAGAGACTGGAGAGACTGGAGAGACTGGAGAGACTGGAAAAGTCTGACCCCCCATCCCATGTGTTAATGTCCGTGATCATAGATGTGGTGTACGCTCCCCATGGTGGTCCTGTTGGTGGTCACTTCCAGATCGATCGCTCTAGTCACCAAGGCAAGTAAGGTAGGTCTAACTACTGTAGGTACCTAGCTGTGCGAGGATAAGATGTCCTGCCCATTAACGGTCATAAACTTGGGCTATTATGGACCATCGTCCTCTGAGCTTCTTGGCCGCCTATGCGGGCAACTGGCGTAGACTTGGATTGGG